CTGCATTCCCCTGTGCCCACACGTAGCACACATAAAAGTGGGGTGTTGGGCGCCAGGGAGCTGCCTCCTGCTGGGAGTCCCCACACCTCTGCTGGGCCAAACACAGAGGAGTTTACCGCCCCACTGTGCCTGCATGTGGATTCCCCACATGCAGGCTGCCTGGATGTTGTTGCGCGCCCCCCTTTCCCTTGTCTCGGCGGGCACAGCGCGGCCCTGATGTTCCCGTGCTCTGCACCCGCCGGAGACAAAGGCCTTGCTTCCTGTGAGCGGCCGGAGTGAGTGGGCGGGGCTTTTTGCCACAGCAACCTGATGCCAGGGCGGATGTTGCTTGGCATCCTGGGATCGTCCTGCTCCGAGGATAAAAGACCGGAGCAGGACCCGGGCTGGGGCATCTTCCCCTGCTCGCAACCTAGGGTGCTGTGAGAGGTCCTGTGTTGCGGCCAGACCCTACAGCGAAGCCGGATTAACCATTGCCTGCTCAAGTCTGCCTTCTGCTGTGTGCCCCTGGTCTAAACCATTGCCTGCCAGTCTGCCTTCTGCTGTGTGCCCCGGACTTAACCCATTGTTTGCCAAAACCTTGCTATTCTCACCGTGTGCTTTCAAAATCTTTCAATAAAAACCTTGTGTGGCCCACTGTTTTCCACGTGTTCTGTCCCACCTACAGTGCCGTCACAACTGCGTTTCTGCAAAATGTAAAATGCTGCAGAAAACACTTAAGTGTGAACCTAGGGTAACAGGTGTTTAGAGAAAGTTTGACAGACTAGCATCACATCCATGGCAAAGCAGGGTCTGCTAGAGAAAACAAGGATTTGGAAAGGGCTCCCAAATATTTAGCAATGGCATCCTTAACCAGTGTAAGACAACCTCACACATATATATGGCGTGATGGATACAGGCCACCTTCTGAGGCGCCACATACACTATATTGCCAAAAGTATTGGGAAGCCTGTCTTTACATGCACATGAACTTTAATGGCATCCCAGTCTAAGTCCATAGGGTTCAATATTGAGTTGGCCCAGCCTTTGTAGCTATAACAGCTTCAATTCTTCTAGGAAGTCTGTCCACAAGGTTTAGGACTGTCTATGGGAATGTTTGATCATTCTTCCAGAAGCACATTTGTGAAGTCAGGCACTGATGTCAGATGAGAAGGCCTGGCTCAGTCTCCTCTCCAATTCATCCCAAAGGTGCTCTAGCGGGTTGAAGTCAGGAATATGCAGGCCAACCAAGTTCCTCCAGCCCAAACTCAGTCATCCATGTCTTTATGGACCTTGCTTTGTGCACTGGTGCGCAGTCATGCTGGAACAGGAAGGGGCCCTTCCAAAACTGTTCCCACAAAGTTGGGAGCATAAAATGGTCTAGGTATGCTGACGCCTTAAGAGTTCTCTTCACTGAAAACTAAGGGGCCAAGCCCAACCGTGAAAATCAACCCCACACCATAATCCCCCCTCCACCAACTTTACACTTGGCCCAATGCAGTCACACAAGAACTGTTTCTCCTGGCAACTGCCTAACCCAGACATGTCCATCGGATTACCAGACAGAGAAGCACGATTCATCACTTCAAAGAACACGTCTCCACTGCTCTAGAGTCCAGTGGCGGTGTGTGCTTTACACCACTACATCTGATGCTTTGCATTGCACATGGTGATGTAAAGCTTGGATGCAGCTGCTCGGCCATGGAAACCCATTCCATGAAGATCTCTAGGCACTGTTGTGTTAATCTGAAGGCCACACAAAGGTTGGAGATCTTTAACTACTGACTCTGCAGACAGTTGGCGACTTCTGCGCACTTCAGCATGCGCTGACCCCGCTCTGTAATTTTATTTGGCCTACAACTTCCTGGCTGAGTTGCTGTTGTTCCCAGTCGCTTCCACTTTGTTATAATACCACTAACAGTTGACCACGGAATATTTAGTAGCAAGGAAATTTCACGGGTGGACTTATTGCACATGTGGCAACCTATCACGGAACCACGCTTGAATTCACTGAGCTCCTGAGATTGATCCATTCTCACAAATGTTCGTAAACGCAGTCTGCATGCCTACGTACTTGATTTTATACACCTGTGGACATGGAGGTGATTGGAACACCCGAATCCAATGATTTGGAGGTGTGTCCCAATACTTTTGGCAATATAGTGTATATGCATACCAGCATTTGTGCTGGGAGCATGCTATGGAGTATTTTTTCAGCACAGAGACAAGATAAAACAGATACACCAGAGCTTGATCTAGGTTAATGTCAAGGTCAGCGGAATTTAAGGACTGTAGCAGGGCACAATATTGTCAGTATCAGACCCAGGAAAAAGAAAAAAAAAAGTCAGCCCAAGTTTGATAATGGATTGTGAGCTGGAGAGTCTCAATGTAGTGGGACAGCTCCTCTTGAGTTTGGGATCTGACATGTAGCACTGATTAGCAAACAATTTAGCTTAGTGTCCCAGATATATTTTTGGGCACTTATGAACCATATGCAGAAAGCAGATAACTGATGTGGAACCAAACAGACTGAATATGATACTTCTACTGAAGGTCAGGAAGAGAACAGGAAAAATTATTGGAATAATAATGGTTCCCAGAGGTTCTAATTAATACTGTATTTCCCAATACTAGACCCATTGGTTTCTGATACTGTGCCACGGCATTCAGCTAACAGTACACTAAGGACCGGAAAGCACCGCAAGCAGAATCCAAAGATCACATTACAGGCAATGCCTGCAATCCTCCAGTCCAGGTGGGTCTGGGTATGACCTTGAAAACTTTTGAGGATATGCCAGACAGCTGAACACATCTGCCTATGAATCCTGTACTAAATATTCCAGATAGATGCCATATACGTTTAGTGATCAAACATGCTGGAGCAACAGTGCTCTATTAGGCTGTGACAAGGCTGAGCGGATCAAATGTGGCCTGACAAGCATAGACAGAGGTGCATTTCTGTATGCAAATACTAAATCTTTGTTTTACAAACAAACATTTAATACACAACAGCCATAACTAAGGATTTACAAAGCACCATGGTTTTCTTAAAAGTGACAACAGTAACTGTCGCATTTAGTCATTCTAACAGTGACAAGTCACTTGGGCGTTTGTACATTTTAGCTATGGAGTTCTGTAAAAAGGTTCCTGTTAGTATAGACCAGGCCTTGAAATTTACACTCGCCTCCTCGCATTGGCGAGTGGAAATAAGGTGGGAGCGAATGTGTCCCTCAGGGCCGTCTTGCTGAGCAGGCTCGGAACTCAGGGCTGGCTCCGTCACTCGCACTGGGAGCAGACTGCTCAATAGTTGAGCAAAGTGAAAGCAAAAAGGAAGGAGTGCATGCTATGCACTCTGCCTCCCTCTAGAGTACAGTACCTGGATCTGTGAGTGAAGGTAACGAAGTACTGTACTGCAACTTTTTATAGGGCTGTGTGTGTGTACGTACAGGTGTCTGTGTGTATATATGTTTATGTGTATGTGTGTACATGTTTCTGTGTGTGTACACTTGTCTGTATGTGTGTGTTTAAGCATACATGTTTGGGTGGCTTGGTCAGGTTCAGGATGATGTGGTTATTATGTGTGTTGGAGTATGGGGCATTTGAGGTATTGCTGGGTTGGATAGAAGGTAGGATATGCTTGGTAGAATTATGGTTTGGTGAGTGAGAGATTATGGTTGTATGCGGTGCATGGTCTAAGTATGATGTAATGCTTAGGGGGACTCTGGGGACCCTGATATAATGTGGGGGGACTCTGGGGACCCTGATATAATGTGGTTAACATTCAACAGTGTCATTTCATGAGAATTTATGAGGGCATGTTTAGGGGCAGAATTAGGGGCGGGGCAGGGGTTGGGTGGGGCAACTGGTGGCGAGCAACTCTAAATCATGGCTAGTAGCTCAGGACTTGAAATTTTGAGCCCTGGTATAGACAATACAAAATTGGGGGGTTTCCTTTTGGAAAGGCGTGGGGCATAATTCTTAATCCCTTGTACATAGAGGGTAGCATAGAGGCTAAGAGGTTAGCACTCTTATCACAAAAATCAGTCTTGATTTGACTCATACTACATACATTGAGTTTGTATGGTTTCCCTGGGGTGCTACTAGTAGGTTAAAAGATAAGTTCACCTTTCTCAACATGTTACACCCATATTTAGGATGTAACATGTTGAGCATTTACCACCTCACCCCCTGGTCCACCTCTACCTTGTGACAGAGGGCAGGGGACCTTCTCCCCACATCCACTGTCACAATTTGAAAACAGCAAGGCCGTGTGGGGCTCCGCCCACACAACCACGTCATTCAGTCACAGAGGTCTGTCAATGAATGCATACAAGTACCATCAGTCATTGCAGCTGAAGGCTTGTAGTTCTCAATGAGCTGAGAGGGCGCTGGTGAGAACTCTCAAAGTTCATTGAGCTTTCTAGACCTGAGTAACTGCTTGCCCGTATCGGAGGTAAAAGCAGACACTGTACTGACAGTCTGCAAGAGAACAATATTGCAATGCTTTACGAGCTCCCAAGAAAAGAAAAATAAACGTATTTTTATATTTTTTTTTCCCCAGGCAAAAAGCAAAAAAAAAAAAAAAAGTGCATTTATAATTTTTTTTTTTTAAAGGCGAACTTTTAACTGATTTTAGTGTGTGCTACTGTAACTAACCTATAAGTTTCTTTTGAGACATGGACATAATTTAAAAATGTTCCTAGAAGCACTACAGAAAATAGGTAATATATAAATGAGTAAATTAGCTACTATATAAAACAGTGAATGTTGCACTTTTATTGTATGTGATTTATGAAGTTAAACAGATTTCAAAACTTACTGCATAGGAAACAGCACTTATGATAGCTCTTTCCATCACACTGCACCTCTTCAGCATGGTAAACCGTCCTTCCACATGCACCGCACTTGTTTCCACCTCCCCAGTTAGGCATGTTGTGGCTAGAAAATAAACAGACATTCTATCAGTATCAGAAGGAACAAGGTATGCACTAGATCTACCCTCAAACATTCTACAAAGCAGAATGATACAGCACATTCCCCAATAAGACTGAAAAAGCTTACTGATAAATGGGCATACAAGACAAACTTGGTTCTGAAACCATTGATTGACTTTAATCCACATCTGCTTTTTTATTTTATAAAGCACTTTTTGCCAGGAGATATTCCTGCTCTATCACAGGTTTCCACGTGTAACTGTTCAAAAACTGTTCTACTGTGCAGTCTTCGCAAGTTATGAGATTCAATCCATGCCTATACGTGGTTAGATTTTTTATATATACCACAAAATATTTTTCTGCAAAAAAAAAAAAAAGAAAAATATTTTCCAAGATATCAGTAGGGCCATATTAACTGTAAAAATAACTGTCCAGCCAGTCCTGACGTTTTCACAGCCTTGCTAATCAGCAAAACCAGATATCTTTTTTCTTTACTGCTGGTAAGCAATAAAGCCCACCCACCAATTCACATCCTGCCTGTTGTCTTTATAGTGACAGAACAGGACTGTATTATTGAGGCCATCAGTCTGCACAGTGAAATGCACCAAAACCAAATCTGTTCACAGTTCTGCCTCTCCTCTTCAGCCTGCCTCCTGCTGTACAGGGGATTGCAGGACGCCAGTATAAAAAGATAGATTCAGGTGCTTATACAAGATATATTTAAATTGACTAATCTACATAGTAAAAAACTACTAAAGTGTGTGCATCTAGATCAGCGGTTCTCAACCTGGGGGTCGAACGACCATTTCCCAGGGGTCGCCTAAGACCATCGGAAAACACATATTTCCGATGGTCTTAGGAACCGAGACACCGCTCCTCTCTCCGGCGATGTGTGGGCGGGATGATACGCTGCTCCTGTCACCTGGCCACACCTCCGGGATCGCTCAGCAGCTCCGCCTCCTCGCCGCTGATTGGCCACCGGAACTGTAGCTCAGGAGAGGCACACAGGCGGCCAATCACCGGCGAGGAGGTGGAGCTTGGAGAGGAGGAGCCGAGCGGCAGCGCGCGTACATCAAAGAAGATCGAGGGAGCTGCCGGAGCGAGTGAGGAGGAGAGGGGCCAGAGAAGGAAGACAGCTGACAGGTAAGTGAGAGAGCGAGCCCAGGCTTGTCACTAATTCCTCCCCCCACTGACGATGGGGGGGCACTATTCCTCCTCCCCCCACTGACACCAACGATGGGGCACTATTCCTCCCCCCACTGACACCAACGATGGGGCACTATTCCCCCCCACTGACACCAACGATGGGAACACCCCCCCTATTCCCCCCCCCCACCATGACCCTCCCCTCCAATGATGGGGCACTATTCTCCCCTCCAATGATGGGACACCACACACCAATGACATCAACTGACACCAATGATGGGCACTACTTCCTCCCTCCCCCCACTGACACCAATGATGGGACACTATGACACCAGTCACTACTCCCCCCACTGACACCAATGACACCAGTGGGGGCACACTATGACACCAGTGATGGGGCCTACTCCCCCCACTGACACCAATGATGGGGCACTATTCCTCCCACTGACACCAATGATGGGGCCACTACTCCCCCCACCGACACCAATGATGGGGCACTATTGATGGGGCACTACTCCCCCCCACTGACACCAAATGGGGCACTGACACCAATGGGGGCACTACTTGACACCAATCCCACCCCCCACTGATATGGGGCACATTCCTCCCACGACACCAATGGGGGCACTATTCATCCCACTGACATCAGTGATGGGGCACTACTCCTCCCACTACTCCTCCCACTGCAAAATTACAGTTATGAAGTAGCAACGAAAATAATTTTATGGTTGGGGGTCACCACAACATGAGGAACTGTATTAAGGGGTCGCGGCATTAGAAAGGTTGAGAACCACTGATCTAGATGGTGGTCCGTGCCTGCTTGTATATACCTTGCATGAAGGTAAAAAACCTTCAGCCTTTAGAACCACTTTAAGATGCTTTGCTGCTTAAACACCTGGACAGCTTGCAGTCATCAAGTCAACTATAAATTATACAATCATATGAAGTGTTGATGTAAGACTGGTGGGAAGACATGCAAAACACCAGAAATAATCAATTTCTGCTACTGGGGGTAATGCCAGCTTCTGAGATAAAATGGTATATGTACTTTTTCCATGGTACATAATTGTACCCAAATATATTTCTGTTGAGTAAATGATTGAAAAGGCAAATTTTCCTTGTGTTTGTATTCAATTATCTCATCTTTAATCTGTAAAGACGGTTTAAATGAAGATCTAATGTTTGCCTGTTCAAATCCAACAATTTTTATGGGATGTAAGGAGTCACAAGACTATGTGCTTGAACTTTACATCTGAAACCAGTTTATTTTAATATTTGACTAAAATCAGATTCTCTTTAAAGTGAATACATAACTATAACAAAATTGTGATTACTTACATCGAATGGCGTTATGATAGTAAAAGCAAAACAAAGTGAAATGGCTATAAATTAAGTACAGTTTACTAATGTCTTTTATAGCCCATCTGCAAATATATGTATTTTATTACCTTTGTTCTATATTGCATTTACAGCCATTCCACTGCTGATCTCACAGCTTATCAGTACCTGCCAGATTTTTATTGAGCTTGCGTTACTGTTACAAAGATTTTTCCCAACTTCCTGCTTTGATGATATCTGTGACTGGAAGAGGGAATCTTTTTAAATGGAAGGGTAAACAGCAATGTAAATAGGAGTCTCTGACCCTTCTAATCCAAAAAGGTTTTCACTGGAGATTAACATTAATATAAAATTGTAGGTTTCATTTACCTACTGTGTCAATAAATCTTCAGAGGCATCTATTAATGGCCAACAAATACAATCCTATTATTACAGATGTATTGTACTAGAAATAAAGCAAGAATGTATTCAAAATAAGAACTCTAAAAATGTAAATCTGAGACAATTCTTTTCAAACACTGCAACAGATTGTATGATTATACATAACATTTTACTTTGAAGCTAAACATCATTCTGCATGCCTGTGTTTGACAGAGCCAAAAAGGTTGAGTATCATTGTGCTATATTTTCTATTTTTGTTTCAACTATTCCACAGTAATAGTTCCATGTAAATATACATTCCATGTAAATATACACCTAGTAACTGCTTATGCAAGTACTCATACAGTAAGTCCCCAATTTATGAACGAGTTCCGTTCTGGGAGAAAGTTCATAAATCGGATTTGTTTGTAAGTCAAAGGGGGTCAAGAAAAAAAAAAACCTCACACACACAGTAAACACATTTACCGTTTACGGTTTCCTTAACTACTTGCCCTTCTGAGGATTTACCCCCCTTCCTGACCAGGCCATTTTTTGCATTATGGTGCTGCGTTACTTTAATTTCATGCAACACTGCACCCAAATGAAATTTGCATCCTTTTTTTTTCCCCAAGAATTGAGCCTTCTTTTGGAGGTATCTGATCGCATGTGCGTTTATAAAATGTTTGTGCTATAAAAAAAAAATAAAAAAAAAAAAAAAAGCCGACAATTTTGAGAAAAAATAAAAATAAATTAAATGTCCAATAAAAAATAAAAATTAATTACGTGTAAATGAATTGATTTACGCGAAAGTTTTAGCATTTACAAATAGCGGTATAGATACTGGATTTTTTTAAAATTATTTTTACTAGTAATGGCGGCGATCAGTGACTTATAGCTGAACTGTGGGACTGCGGTGGGCATTCTGACACTGGGGAGAACTGACTTGGTGTCACTGTCATCCCCAGTGACACCAATACAGTGATCAGTGCTAAAAAAAAAAAAAAAAAAAAAAAAAAAAAAAAACACTGACACTGTACTAATGGCACTGGGCAGGAAGGGGTTAACATGAGGGGCGCATAAAGGGTTAACTGTGTGTGTTGTAAATAGGGGGCCGTGTCAGTGTGCTTCACTGTAAGCACACTACTTTGTGAGTAATCATCAGCTGGGACCCAGTGATTGACAGCCGGCGAATGGGGGTCCCCCCCACCTGGAAATGCAAAATCACACAAATAATTACACACACACACAATTTTGCGCACCCGTGCCTCCCTGTAGCAGTATTTCTGCTATAGAGCAGACGGGAGGCGATTAAAATGGTGGTACAGTACAACTGTAAAACTATTTTTACTATAACAGTTACCTTAAAATGGTGGTACAGTACAGTACCACAGCTGGCATATAGTGGAAGAGAGTTACTAACTGGAGGAAGGAGGGTAGGTGGAGCTGAAGGATCATTGGCAATAGGAGATGGAGGGCAAGATGGAATTTGGCCTACACCTGATGATGGAGCTGAAGGATCATCAGCAATAGGGGATGGAGGGCAAGATGGAATTTCACTCACACCTGATCTTGATGACACAGGTTTTTTGATGGATTCAATTCTGTCTACCCCTAGGAAAAAATTATCCAGAGAAGTCTGAGTGGTAGCTCTTTTTCTCATCATAGATGACTCTGTAGCACTGGATGGCATTCTGAACGGCTGCTGCAACCTTTGTGTAGAGTTCTGTGCCTCAAAAACTAACAGTGCCTCTTCAAGTAAACAAAATCTCCTTGCCATTTCCTGTGTTGTGAATCTCTTTGGTTCTTCAGTGACATCTTCCTCTTGGCTCTCTTCATCTTTTCGCTGGGCCTCCAATTCCATTAGGTCCTCATTAGTAAGCTCTTCATGTTGCACAGCAAGGAGTTCAATGAAGTAGTCCTCTTTCAGATCTAGCTCTAGCTTCATTCATGCCAAGGGTCACTAAGTTGTTGAAGACCTCTTTGGACTCCTTACCCATCTTTTCAAGTCCATGAACTTCATGAACAAACTGCGAGCAAAGGTTCTTCCAAACCCCATTCATTGTGACAGCTGAAACCTCACGCCAAGCAAAGTTGATGTTTTTTATGGCCTTGTAGATGTTATAGTCCTTCCAAAAATGTCAAAAGGTTGTTCCTGTTTTCATCAATAGCCTTCACTGCCTGATGAAAAGTGTGACGTTAATATTTCTTGAAAGTCACAATAATTCCTTGGTCCATAGGTTGGATGA